TCCAGCAATATTACGGCGGGGGACACCAGAAATGGGCTTCACTCATTGTACCCATGTGGGGAGTCGAACCCGGGTCTTCGGCGTGACGAGCCAACGCTTTAACCACTAGACTACCCCACCGCCCCCTGGAGTAGGGAGGACGGTGAGGGCCTCACCTATGTTCAAAGTTACGTCCCTTAGAGGCACAAGGAACCTAAAACACCAGATTCGACTAGGTTTCCAGGTGTCACCAATCTGGTAAATATGTATTACCTTCGTAACTTCGGGATTTCCTCCCACTCTAACCCGACACAGATAGAGGTCATGGGTTGTATTAATCCATGTGATTCATCTTTTCATTATGAGGCTTAGTTCATCTTGAGTTTCCCTTACCCCAGTCACCAGAATAACATTAGATCATCAATACGCTTCCCATCGTGAGGGGGCTCCCCTATTACAGACACATCAACTCAAAGCCAGATCAAGTCACGTTACCACGCGTAAACGACCATATCGGAATATCTTGCAAACCTTGCATTTTTTGTCTAATATTTCATAACAAATTAACCGCGCAAAATATCCAATTATCAAAAGTAGAAGGCAATATTTCATATAACAATTCCAAATTATGCGCGGTTAAATTCACTACACTGCACTCCCATTAAGATCCGCTGCTAGGAACTTGGACGACGCGTGTGCAGCACGGACTATTCGATCGCGCACGAATTACATGTACGAACACATTTTGCATGTGCAGCACGCATTAAGCACCCGGATTACGATCTGGGAGATTTCATTGTGGTGCGGCGTTATCCCGTGTTCCTGGTTTGGGGCTCAAAGGCTTATAGTGGGGCTCAATCTTCTCACGTGCAGGTATTAGACCAGATTCAGTGAAGCGTGAAGACTTTGAGTATTGCCGCACATTTCAATAAGACGGTCGATACAATCAATTGATGAAGAATTTGGAAATGGCGGCGTTGGGCGAGCGAGTAGTGAAGCGGAAGACCTCTCCCGTTGTCCTGCTTGGAAATGGCGGGAATAAACGATGGGGATATTAATACGGGTCCTGTTAAGTCAAATCGTACACGGTTCATTTGCCGCCCCGACGAGACATCCCTCCTCTCGTTGTGGAAGTAGAAATATATGTGCAGAATATGATCTAAATGTTCTGCTGTGGTAGTGTAAGAAAACAGATCGACAAGGGACACGTGAATTGGAAGGTAGGTGGTAGGGTCAGAGTATGGGTAATTGAAGGTGATTTGATGAAGGCCAGGTAATGTGTTGAATGCAGACACAATTCGTCAGCACTGAACTGTACAAGCACGGACAAACCTCATTCTAGATGACATAACATTTACATTAAGACGGATTAAAGTCCTCTGAGTAAATATTTTAAATCTGAAATCCTGCGGTTTTCAAAAACGACAGTTTGTTTTCGGTTATTCGGAAGAATAACAACTTGAAATCTGTGTCAATTTTATCTGCTTTAAAAATATTTCGTTCATTCAATGTTTGTGATGTTTCTGGAAATGTGTTTTTTCTGATTTAGATTGTTAAGGACGATCTGCCTACAAAGGCACATACAGACCACCTATAGGTTTGCACTTTCAGATATGCCAGGAAGAAAGAACAGCTCACTGAGCTCCAGTCCCTTTCTGGTGTCTTGTAACACACTTCATTTCATTCAACGCTTGAACACAGATTTTTAAATTACCCGAACAAGTTGAATGGATGTTAAATCAACATTAACTAGTTAACTCTAACGGGGCGGACATATTACCTTTTGGGGGGATGACGTTAAGAAGGAACTATTGTCTTCAGATTCAACCTTTTAACGATTTTGTAAGTTGCAATGATCATTCTAAACCGCGGATCCGTGATGCAGGATGTTGATCTGGTGGAGGAAACGCCACTGCTGCAAGGAAACGTGCATACGATCATATCTAAGCAAGGATAGGGGTGATGTGAGATTTAACGAACGTCCTGTTCAGGATTATTGTACTGTTAAGGGTTCCGACGTATGTAGGGGCGGTGGGGTAGCCTTGTGGTTAAAGCGTTCGCTCGTCACGCTGAAGGCCCGGGTTCGATTCCCAACATGGGTACGATTTGTGAAGCTCATTTCTGGTGTCCCCCCCGCCGTGATATTGCTGGGATATTGCTAAAAACGGCGTAAAGCCAAACTCAGTCAGTCAGCCGACGTATGTAGGTATCATAGAGCTGGAACACAGATACCATGCATAGTTTAACATGTCTACCCTACTCACCCAGCGCTCTACTCCCAGCAGGAAGGTGTTGTTTTATCCCCAGAATGCCATGTATCACCAGGCAGGGCAAGCACAACCAAGCTAACACACAACGTTTTCGCAACGTTGTGGGGAGGTTGTAGATTGGTAACGTCATGACACAACGATGTCACACCGTTAGTATTACGTCATTGTATAACGTTATTTCACATCGTTAGTATTACGTCATTGTATAACGTCATGACACAACGTTAGTGTTACGTCATTGTATAACGTCATGAAACAACGTTAGTGTTACGTCATGTCACAACGTTAGTATTACGTCATTGTATAACGTTATTTCACATAGTTAGTATTACGTCATTGTATAACGTTATGCCACAACATAATAGCATCCACCTGCTTAGTTCCTCTCGGCGTCAACAGAAGCAAAGTTCTACGCATATAACCACAGAACAGATTCAGGAGGAATTACAGGTTTAGGAAAAATATAAAAATAAAAACAAAAAAACAACATTACTCATTGCTGTCTCAAGGTCGCCAAGACGTACTTGTTTTCTTTCGTTGTCACTTGACAGATTCCCTGGAACAAAAGGATCATTGCACATACGCGGTGAGACATTCCTATCAATGTTTGCAATCTGGACAGGAAATTAATTACAAAATAATTCCCAGCTATTCCATAACGTTTTCGCAGGGTTGTGGGAAGGTTGTAGATTGGTAACGTCATGACAAAACTTTGCCACAACGTTAGTATAACTTTGTCACAACGTAATAACAGCGTTGCAAATGTATGTTGAGGAAACGTTATGCTTTGGACTCCGCACAACGTTATAACAACGTTTCTTATAACTTCTTGTCACGATAGACAAGAAGTTTCTGTATAACCTTTCACGTTGAGATTCTTTCTTCACTATTCAGAAAACCACGACCAAGCCAACATGCAAATTGACGAATGAAGATTGAAGTGAATTTCTGCTTTCTTTCTTACGAACTGTTCACTACAGGGAAAACTATTCAACTATTAATGTTAAATAGAACGCTGTGACAACGTTGTAACAACGTGAAATTGTAAGGTGGGAAATACCTGTATCTTCTTTTAATGTGTTTGGGCATGAGACCGACAGGTAATCGACTGGCCGACATTCCGCTCTCCCAGCAGAAGAGTTGTCCGATACTCCTCTGAGATGGTCGTCTTGACAAAAGACCTTGGTTTGATTGTTATTATACGCCAAACTCGGCATTACTCCAGCTGCAGGATAGTAGGCTGTAGGAGGTGGAATCTAGACCATCCTGTGATTGACATCATGTCTACAGTTTAAGGGTGAAATGCGTGAGCCTGACGATCCGATCCCGTTGGGCGTCTTTTGCGACATGCAAGGGTTGCTGAAGATCAGTTCTAACCCGGATCTTCACGGATGACACCCTGTCTCGACGGCGAGGTCGGTGCTCGTGGTATCAACCATCCGTTTCTCACTCACCCTTTTGGTCAGATATTAATTTTCTAAAATATTGCAGACAATATAAACGGCCATAGGATCAAAGGCACCGCGGTTTTCTGTACAGAGTTGCATCCTTTATGATCCTCTGGTGGAACATTCAAGTCCCAGATTTGCTGTGATTATACTACTTGCCTAACTTCATCACTGATTACGTTTCAGCAAAATTGTAAATGTACAAGACGTACGTCAGTCCAGGTTTTTCTCACCATACCGGAACTCGATGTGTTGACTGTCGGCTCAAAGCAGCATTCAACAACACTCACACCCATTGTCTTAAGGACGAAGTGCTTTGTGTTGACGCACAAATTCCAGAGTTACTTTCAATAATTTCTAGTTCATAAATTGGCAGAAAATCTGCAAGAATAAAATCTACACATCTACGTTGGAGTGTGCGTGTCGGTGCGTGCATGCGTGCGTGCGTGCGTGCGTGCGTGCGTGCGCCTGAAACTATAAACGATGCATGATATATACGTGTGTGTGTCAATCTGTCGTAGTGCTTCTACGAAATATTTAAAAACATTATATTTGTTTTTTCTACTATTGTGAGAATGTGGGTGCAGTGAATGTAAGAAAAACATTGATAACCGAAACTGTGGTGAAAGCACATGGTTTTACTGTCAACATTCGGATAGTTGTCCCTCAATTTTCCAGGGTCGAGGTCGAATCCGCCGTACACACACAGCACAAATCTCATTCCGCAGGGCTTATTCGAAATTGCTGTCAATAATGTTGTTTCTGAAACCATTCTCATAAATGTTGCCTGTGTCGTAGTACACAAAATGGAAATAAATTTATGCCCCGGAGAAAAACATTTTTTGCACTTAAGAAATCGTTAACGCAACTTGCTCTTGGAATCATAATTTCCAGCCTGAGTTTTGTTTGTTGAAAGCTGGTTACCCCTCGTCATAGAAACACACACAGACCCTACAATCATGTTATAGACTTTGTCCCGCATTACAGTTTTAATCTTTCCCAATGACAGTAAACGGACTTGAAATAAACAAGTGGGTGTTTAAAGTAAACACAAGAAATGTGATAGAAGTTTGTCAAACAAGAAATATTTAGAGAAAGTCAATTCATACAGTCATTAATTCAAGCAATTGTTAGCCGCCAGTTGTAGACAGTTTTCAACAAACTTGCATATGGATTTTGAAATGGAAATAATATGTTTTTAGCGGTAATCAATTTGAGTAAACTGCGGATTATCGAACTTGAATCATTTGCACTTGCAAATCGTACGGGGTTGGAGTGACCTGGCATCACAAACCAATGGCCAATGGAGCTGGCAGCCGGATATGAGGTCTATGGTATGCAGTCAACGTAAGTTAATGTTAATCAGAGATGACGAATCTGTACCCCTTCAGGCCTGCCTCCCACAATAATAATCCCAAGTGTCCCTCCCCCTTAATGAGGAAACCGCCTCCGTGGTGTAGTGGTTAGAGCGTCCGCCCGGAGAGCGGAAGGTCGCGGGTTCGATCCCCGACCGCGTCATACCAAAAGACGTTAAAATATGGTACTTGTTGGTCCCTGCCTGACGCTCGGCATTAATGGGTACAACAAGGACTGGTCGGCTCGGAGTCAGTATAATGTGTCTGAGTGGGGTATTCATGCTTCACTGCGGCATGGTATCTCAGTGAGCTAGCACTATAAAACCAGCTTAAGTCTGGGCTAGTACAAGCAACCGCACATACACATACACACGCATGCTCATCGTCATATGAGCGAAATATTCTCAAGCACGACGTTAAACCAAATTTCACCTCACCTTAATGAGGAATTGTCGATAAGACAAAACAGTTGCTCATTACTAGGACTGAGATCCACAGAGAATTTATATATTTTGATTTGATTCAGATTTAGCAAAGTTTTTGACTAGGCAGTACACCTTTCACTGTTAATGTTGGCCAAGTATGTCCACTTGACCCCTTCCCAAATGACTTCATGAGGGACCGTTCATAATTTATGGCAAGAGGGTTGATGATGATTTTTATGGAGAAGCATGTATAATGTGATAGACCCCCTAAAACTTATGTACAAAGTAAGTGCCCCCCCCCCCTCATGATACATATGAAATCAATGACACCCCTTTCCCATAAAATTTTAAGCATGATTTTTAAAAATGAATTTAATGTACAGAATTACTTACACCCCACCCCCTGCCCCCTAGTTCATCTGTACCAAATTGATACCCCCCTTCCCCAGAACAAAATGGGTGACCGTCCCCACAAGTCAAAACATTGATTACACAAGTCTGGTTTCCTGCTGACTGGGTTCCGTCCTATGGTGCAACTTAGTACAATAACCAGTTCAGGATTTTGAGACCAGCTCATTCAACTGGATCTATACATCTTAATCAGTATTATTTGATACATCTAAGCACTTGTAAATTGCAACACTACACTCCTAATACTTGCAAACATGTCATGCAGAGTGCTGTCCTACAGCATGCTCTGTCAAACGGAAATCTGGAAATCGTGGAAATCTCAAAATGAGGCTCAGCCTCAAACTGAACATATGGCGGTGTTGTACGGCCTTGATTTTATATCAATCATATTGTATGTTTAGTACACTTAATGAACACAAAGAACACATAACCAGTGAGCCAGATTAATTGTGAATCACTTTTGTGGCCTCAACAAACGGGCAGTCTGTGACGTCTTAGTTAAGGTCATGCTGCCTACACCTCGCCATAAAATATAGAAGTACGATTTTTTTAAAGTTTGAAATTAAAATTCATTAGTAAATACCATTTTCTTATGATACAAGGAATTGGAATTTCGTGTAACCATAGTTGCTTGTAGTGTCTCTTTTCACTTTCACACAAGAAAATTCGGATCGGCTGAAAAGTAGATCACTGTCTGAATTAGTTCATGAGACTCATGTTTCGGTTGCATAAAATCATCATCACCCCCATAGCCATAATTATAAATGGTCCCAAAGAATCAAGGTATGTGAGTATTAGCAGGTGGCCCAAGATGACTATTTCAGCATATTTTGGACTGTTCTGTCTACAATGATGGAAATCTATCTTGATGAAGATACTAACGTTTAAATATCAGAACAGTGGTTCCTCAAAACCTCTGAAACTCAGTTTACAGTTTATTCATCCATTTGTTTTGGTAAGTTCCAAACATGCAACTGTGTAAGAAGCCAAGTCTTCTGATAAACACATCTGATTATATTCATAGCAGTTTAACAAAGTTTTGCTGAATTCTTAAATTAAACAGGTTCATACCCTTCCCCTTCTTTCCTTCTTGCATATTTTTTAGTTGATAGACAGAAGATGACAAAGAGCAATAAAACACATAATTTTATATAATCAGTTTCACAACAAAATATTAACCAAAACCCGAAATGCATTAGAAGCAAATGACAAAAAGCGGAACACCATGAGATTGTCATTGACACAAACCCTGGCATTACTGCCAGTTCCCTTATATAAATCACATCAATAGAATTATCTTTAATTCCACTATTTTGTCACAAGAACCAATTTTCTGATGGATAATGTTCCAATTTTTGTTGAAAATGATAATCATCTGTCCATCGTGTTGTACTAGCCGCAGCAAGTACAAATTAATTAGTGCCACTTGAGTGATGAGACGACCCCAGATTGTGATGCCCAGTATATAATTATTGGAACCATGGTATGAAAATCCCTCCCCAATACTGCCCCCTTTCAATCCAACAGATCAATCACATGAGTGATAGATAACTATCCAAAACATTCAGATTACTCAGTCGTCAATGTTAGATTGGCTATTTTTTCGGGGGAATATGAACAGAGAGTTTTAGGACAAATTACCACCATTTTCTCTCTTGAGCTGTAAAAAGGATTTGGACAAATGTTTTTCTGCAGCAAATGGTCGTGAAGACTGTCACTTGGTTTTGCCAGCGAATAAACATGGCATTTGTGCTGTGATTTGTGTTCGTGAGATTATCATTTGGTAACTGAATTTATTATTGAGATCATAAAATAGTCTTAATGATGTGGTCAGAATCACGCACTGAAGCAGACTTGCGGTTGGCCATGACGCCATATTCTAATTAATTTTTAGAGCATAATGGGGTTGTTTAATTTGATTTGCAGGTTTGGAATATGACAGATTTCAAAGCCACATGTGGAATGATGGAAATATGGATTTAGATGGGACAGTTCAAGTTGTGTTAACTGTTGCTGGTTTCTCCTAAATATTTGGACAATGACATTGACGGATTGATGGTTCTGATCACTTCTTTTAACTGCCTTTGACGGTATTAGTGCATGGCTTCTTTAGGAGATTTTTTAGTGCATTTTGGCTTGTGTGGTTCCCATGATCTCAGTACATCATACACAATCTGTTCTTTGTAACTTTAAGATTTTCAGCATCCCTTCTGCAACCTCTTGGCATTTTGCGGAAATCTTGAGCAGTAACTGGTGCACCAGACAAATGCATGTTTTTAAGCATGTTAGTGACTTGTTTGAGACAGACGGGTGCAGATTAAAACTATTTCTGACTGAGAGTGAGTAATGGTACCTCTTTTAAAATCTTAACATTTCTTTGAGACATGCTTACACTTTTTGCAAACACCTGGTGTCAATATTGACTTTTAGCGGTTCTTTCATGTCAGTTTCACCACCAGTTTGCCATTAAAAACCACTGAAATCTGTGTCACCAGATAAGACTTAAGACTCGAGGCTTGTTATTTTCTAACCCGTGAAGGTCAGGGTTAGAATATTGATCTTCAGTAACCCATGCTTGTCGTAAGAGGCAACTAACGGGATCGGGTGGTCAGACTCGCTGACTTGGTGGACACATGTCATCGGTTCCCCATTGCGTAGATCGATGTTGATCACTGGATTGTCTGGTCCAGACTCGATAATTACAGACCACCGCCATATAGCTGTAATATTGCTCAGTGCAGGGTAAAACTAAACTCACTCACTCACTTTTATTTTCTGGCAAATGTATATTTATTAAGTCAAAGTTGAGAAGTGATTGGATAATATCCTGCCTTGAACATCACTTATACATATGTCTTTGTGGACAATCAATGTAGCCTGTATAAGGCCTAATAAAAAAATGTTATGGTTCCAATTACCCGACAAAACCTTGAATTCTGGTGCCAACCCTAATTTTTTAAGCTGTATGAATAAAATAAGCTTTCAGATACCATTGTTTTTTCCCGGCACCAGCGGAGATCGGTCATTCTGATAGAGAAAGTCGGCATGATGGCTGCAAGCTTGATTGAATAAACAATTACACATTGTGTTATTACCTTACTTCCAAAATCTTTTTTAAAAAAACAACAAAAACCTACCTACCTACCCAAAATTTTAAAGAGGTGTAATCAGAACCACAACATTTTTATTTTTTGGCCTAAATGAATGAATGACCATAAAGGAAATTATTTCTGTTGATGCCTACTATATGATGAATTTGTATGATTTTCTGGCCAGACTGAAGTATTTGTAGGTTGCGAGGTACTGGAAATATTGCTGAGAGCATCATTAAGCCAACAAATGTGGAATCTTATGAGAAACTGCTTTTTTTCCAATGAAATGATTTGTTTATCCTAATCGTATCTCTGAATTGAAGACAAATATACACCAGCAAAATATTTACTTGAATCCAATGACAAGATTTCATGACAGGCTGCCTCACTACCAAACACCTGCAGAATTGACATTGTGTATATTTGTCAATAATAATTTAATAATAAATAATGTGTGTCATATTTACGGAAGCTGTAGTGCAGTGATAGGGTCAAGTTCCTGGGATGTGCTGGTATCTCAGCTCCGTCATCAGTGATAAAACCGTCTGAATCTCGGGGGTATTCACGGGTACCTACTGACTGGCCTAGTGTGTGATGCCCATCAAGATGGGATGTCCAGATGTACTGGGTGAAAGTAAAGAGCTCCATCCACCATCAGCATCCATGATGGATCCCGGAGCGAGAATCTGTATCGTGTGTAACAGAAATCCCACGTGGGGGATGTTTAGACCTGATTCAGCAGTTGTGTCAGTGAGATGCTCCGGGGACCTTCAGGGAAGGATTTAAATCAAAGCTCAGTCATTGTAGAAGGTTTGCGTTGTGGTGTAGGTTTTGCCGTGGGTAAATGATCATTATGGAATGTTTCAGACACATCGAATATGTTCAAACCAAGCTGATTATCTAAGTGAAAAGTCAGTGAATCCCTACCAGCTAAAGTATGTGAAAATATCTAAGTAAATATGTAACATCAAAACTAGTGTTTAATCATTCTCATTTTTTAAACAAAACTTTTTTTATTGGATGTGAGCTAGCAATAATTAATATACTCTTGGAAACAAATAAGG